TGGCACGAGGACTCGATCCCACGAGCATACCGCGCGCAAATTTTTCGACTCGCGATTTTTTTCGCGCGCAAATTTTTGACGCATTTTGGACTCTCAAGTTCTTTTCCCGATCCGCGCGCAAATTTGAACTGGGGCTAGGTCCCACTTGCACGAATTAAGAGATACTAACCGTAGATCGCAAAAGATCAACGGCCGAGATCTCCTAATTTGCGCAAGTGGGACCTTGCCCCCGATCTGTGAACTCGATTTTCCCTAGAGGAGGCCAGTTCGATCGAGCTGGATGCTCTCAGGGCATACTCACACGACAGCACTTTCTTCGACGCAATGTATCGACTGCAGTCACGGCTTTCAAAGCAGGATGCATCTGACCGTAATTGCGTTCACGGCTCGCTCGAAAACGTCATTGGTGTAAACATGCTCTCAAGAGGGGAGCACGACTGTCACATGCCTTCACGCTAAGCCAACGCCCCCTTGTGAGACTTAGACGAAGGCCAAGGAAGGCCGTACTGGCACTCGGGACTTTTCGGGGACGGAACTCGACCGTAAGTAGGACCAAATACATTACAGAACGTCGCCGTGTAAGGATGTTCAGGATGTCGTAAAAGTCGTCGCGTCAAGTGTGAAACCACCTTAGCCGTTTTTTTTTCCATGGCGCAGAACAGCAACTTCGGCCATGTTAACAAGGGTACAAAAAAATAGACCCTGCTCTCACCAATGAAGGGATCGAGTGATCGAAGATTCCTGACCGATCGAGGGATCGAAGATTCCTGACCAATCGAGGGATCGAAGATTTCGACCGATCGAGGGATCGAGGACCACCTTCCGTCCCTTCTTTTGCTCTGTAATCAGATCCAAATTGCAGTGCAATGCTGCAGTCAGCTGCAAATTGCATTCCTACCCCTCACTCGAGTCGTCTCTTTTCGCTCCGTTTCCGGTCCCGTTCCTCCCTTCGGGTCGATTGATCTTCTTTTGCTCTGTAATCAGATCCAAATTGCAGTGCAGTGCTGCAGTCAGCTGCAAATTGCATTCCTACCCCTCACTCGAGTCGTCTCTTTTCGCTCCATTTCCGGTCCCGTTCCTCCCTTCGGGTCGATTGATCTTCTTTTGCTCTGTAATCAGATCCAAATTGCAGTGCAGTGCTGCAGTCCGCTGCAAATTGCATTCCTACCCCTCACTCGAGTCGTCTCTTTTCGCTCCATTTCCGGTCCCGTTCCTCCCTTCGGGTCGATTAATCTTCATTATTGGAGTATTCTTCAGTTGAGTATAGATAGTGCTTCCAGTGCAGTCTTCCATTTAGGACACGTGGCTGTCTCCATTTCCTGCGCCTTTCCTCCCTTCTGGTCGTTAAGCTCCATTGTCGGAGTATGCAGAGTATTCAACTGCAAACTGCATTCCTACCCCTCACTCGATAAGTCCTCCCTTTCAGTCGATTCTTCCGTTCAGTATACGCGTGACTCTCTCCATTCCCGGCGCCATTCCTCCCTCCGGGTCGATAAGCTTCATTGCGTATGCAGAGAGTCTTCAACTGACACCTCTTCCATCGAGTCTACCATCAAGTATACAGCCGGCCATTAGACCTAAGCCTTCTCCGTTCGCACTTCAGGACACACCCAACGATTTCGATAGCGACCACCACTTCACATGGGATAAAATTTGCGCAACGCCAATGACAGATCCCGATTAAGATTTCCACAGATCTCCACAGGCCTCCACAGATCCCGATGCCGACAGGATTCGAAGAGAAACGACCCACTTCACATGTGACAACAATGCACGACGCCAACGACAGATCCCGACTAAGATTTCCACAGATCTCCACAGACCTCGATCCCAGTAGGACTCGGAGAGACGGTGGGCACAGACATTGTTGTTGGCCACCGCCGGTATTGCCCTCGAGTATCTGAGAGGTGGGAGCATTCGTGTGACAGTATGAGAGGGGGGGAGGAAGTGCCATTCACGATAATTCCTCAACTGGACACCGTGGGAGGCGCTACAAATATCTGCAGAAGTGATAAGCTTGGTCCAGCAGCTGATAAGGATACGCACTGGAATAGTTCCGACAGCCGGAAGGTCCCGATACCGCCCGTGTTAGTCATGCTCTCGAAATCCCGCGATCTTCCGCCCGCTGGCTGATCCTTACCACGGCAAAGAGCCGCGCGATCTTCCGCCCGCTGCTGGCTGGTTGCGACGCTTCCGCGCGCGAGCGCTCAAGCACACTTGAGCTTCAATCTCTTATGGACACATTGGGGAGGGGACATAAAATCCAACGAGCAAGCGAAACAGAGAGAGAGAAAGAGAGGAACAGAGGAGAAGAACGAAGAGAAAAGAAAGAGAGAGAGAGAGAGAGAGAGAGAGAAAGAGAGAGAGAGAGAGAGAGAGAGAGAGAGAGAGAGAGAATGCTGCATATCGATCTCTCAACCCAAGAGAAGCACTGAGCGTTTCCCGACCAGAATTGCCTAAAAAAATGAACACTTTTATTATTCAATCAGAATCAACCCCGATTAATTACGACCATTAAAAGCACAAATCCCTCATTTCATTCTCGATCTATAACTCAATCAACTATCTAAGACATCACTCCAGCCGTTAAAAACACACCAACAACAACAACAATCATTCGTCCTCACCACCTGTCAATCTCTCAATTCAGGCGTTTGTCAAGCACACCCTCCAAATCATACGACCAATTCAACGAGAGGAAACCAATCAATCAATCAATCAGTCAATCAATCAATCAATCAGTCAATCAATCAATCAATCAATCAGCGCCTCACGACTGCTCGGGAGCTGCTCTCGAAATCTTCGAGGCCGTCGTACAACTTAACAAACGCTCTCAGTTAGAGACACAGAGAGATATACTGTTCTTTCTGTAAGTCGAGCCCTCGGTCCCATCCAGCCACACAAACTGTCAAGAGCTCATCGCACTCGTTCATCGAAATTACTGACTTGGTGAAAAACGAAAACAAATAATCAAATGCAAATCCTCAGAAAATCATTGCGGAACAAACTGCCAATTGATCTTCACAACAGGTTTCTCGACGCAAAACCCTCTCGCGGAAAATCCTCCTCCTAATAATTCGCTGGGAGGGTATAGGTAAACTTCTTCTTCTTCTTCTCCTTCTTCTTCTTCTTCTCCTTCTTCTTCTTCTTCTTCTTCTTCTTTCACCCGTCACACATCCTCCTCGGAACCACATATAGCCACCGTTTGCCACAGTTTGCCACAGTTTGCCGCCGGGAGGGTCTAGGTAACCTTCTTCTTCTTCTTCTTCTTCTTTCCGTTTGCCACCGTTTGCCACCGTTTCCCCCCTCACACATCCTCCTCGAAACCACACATAGCCACCGTTTGCCGTCGTTTTCTCAAGAAAACGCGCGCATACTCAAGCAACTCCTTTCCTGACAAATCCGAATTATTGGAAAATCTCGAACTGGAAGTCGTCAAAATGGCCTTGCTTCAGTTGAGGTAGAAACATCCCAGTCTATGAAGTCTATTTCATGCCACGTCATGAGTATATATATATATATATAAGCCTGCATATATAAGCCCGTTTCTCCCCGCTTCTTATTGCGAAATAATCTCTCTCAAAGCGTCTCCCAATCACGACTTCGGCCCCCTCTAGGAATCCAGCCAGGTTCACCCGCCCGCCCGTCCGCCCCTTCCCTCCCCCCTCCCCCCCTCCGGCCCCAAAAAAAGGCGCCAGAGGGCACATTGTATTGTACTCTGCCAATTTTAATCATCATCCACCAGCCAGTGAGAGAAAAAAAAAAAGAGAGGTCGATAACAGGAGAGGAGCGCAGCCGCTCCAATCCCCCTTGCTCTCGATAAGCTTAGCCGGAAAATCTACATCCGCAGGGTGAGGACGAACAAACCTACTGCTCACTACGATCGTGCAAGCGGGTAGTGAAAATCCGAAGAAGACTAGTTAAGAGAGTCAAACATCAAAGGCAAAACAAGTCACGAGGGTCAAAGCCGCCGGGGGTCCCGCCAGCTCAGACCCCTTCACCACCTCCCCCCCTCCCCCCCCCTCCATACGATACGACTGGCCATGCTCTCAAAAGGGGGACTATATGCCCTCCCCCTGCTCTTGCGAAAGGGCACGCTTGCTGCTGAGGGGCTGCATCGCAAATCCAACTACAAATAGGGGTCAAAGATGCAAAAATCGCAATTTCCGTCCCAAGGGACGGGAGAAGAATCTCTATCCCGACAGTAGGAATTAAGGTCACAAATCCTCCTCCGTTAATCGCACCCCGTTCAGCAAGAGGAGGTCGGGACTTCAACAAAAACACCCTGTTAAAAACCGCCAGATATGCTCCGTTTAGTACGACCATGTAGCAAGGCCAGCACCTCCGGATTGCCACCACCACTATGTCCCCCCTTTCCCTCTCGACAAACCTGCAATCCACCAACCACACTGAAGAGCGAGCGTCAAGGTAATATCACTCAAACTGACTACCATCTTCACCCCAATAGAGCACCCGGCCATTATCGCTGCATCTCTTCTTAGACTAAGAGTTGCCCCAAATACAGCTATAAAGACCGGGCGTTTGATTCGGTTGACGACGGGTAGGAACCTTTCTGGCACATCCCCACTCACCGTACTCAGCATTGGAAGCTCAATCGAACAGTGCCAAGTTTGAGAACGCCCTAACTACTCAGCATTTAAAACCACCGTAATCCCGCAGACACAGGCGATTGCAGCAGAGCATGGGCACAGCCATCGTCATGATCATCCGCTGACGGCAGCACCTGACAAACAACGAAAACGGCAACGAAGACGACAAAGACGACAAAAAGAAGATGGCGATGGCGATGGCGATGGCGATGGCGATGGCGATGACAGCGACGGCGATGGCGATGAAGACGAGGAGTTGATGAAGAGACCAGGGCCGCTGTGGCCCTTTGCACGACAGGGACGGCGATGACGATGGCGATGGCGACGGCGATAACAGCGAAGCATGTACTCAACAATGCAACGAGTTCTCTCTCCTCCTCCCTTTCAAACGACGGCTCCACGAACGAGGGCAACTAAGATGCCCAGCAGTATCACGAGGAGCGCAAGGAAGATGTACAGCATTTGCGGACGTGAGAGAATACCCCCTCCCTCTCTCCTGATTTCCGTACAGCGGGCTATGGAGTCTGCCGAGACGGAGAGAACCACACTGGAATCTGCAGAGAACTCCATCGCGGTCACAAACACCATATGCGCCTTTCGGTCCCGCCATCTGACAGCTAAGCTCTCCGCATCCACGACGATCAGCTCCCCTTCGCAAGATCCTCCTGCTAACCACGCCCCATTCCCGCTGACGCAGAAAGCCGACAAGGGGTCCTGACACACCTTCCGACTTTTGACAATCTCCCAAGTCTTCGTGCTCCAGGCGACCACGTGTCCCTCCGCTGCTCCCGCGCTCACGAGCGTCGTGTACAGCAGCGAACCCTTCCCTCCTCCCCCTCCTCCCTCCTCCCCGCACCTCCTGGCAAATCGGCAATAGCCAATTCTAGACCGGTTGTTCTTCGACCCCGCGCGGGCAGAAGACGAGGCGACGGCGGGAGGGGAGAGAGAAGCAACCACCTTTTTCTTGCTGACGGACCACACACGGCAAGGACCACCCTCCTGTGCCATGGCGACCAACGACCCGTCGGGACTGAAGTCCAGGTCCTTGATTGGCAGCCCAACCTCGGGATCGTCGGTGCTGGAAGAAGGGGAGGGGGGGGAGGAGCAAGAGTCCAGCAGAAGATCCATAGCCGGCCAACTGAAAACCAGAAGCCGACCATCGGTTCCACCTAGGGCTAAGCAGCTGCCATCACCGCTGAAAACCATCGCTTTCTGCTCCGAAAGCTCGGCCCTCAGTGCCGCCGGCGTCTCCATCGCCGAGAAAACCATGGATCCATTCCGCCGATACCGAATACCGAAGGCGCTAAAACCGGTGGTCGTAGCGACGAGCAAGACCTGACCCTGAGGATGAACGACCAGACGCAAGGGAGGATCTTCACCTGTGGAAATCCACTGAATTTCTTGAGATAGAAAATGCGACTGGACATCGTAGTGCGCTACGACCAGTCCGTTCCGCACCCCGTGTTTCGCGCTCCCTCCCCCGCCGCCGAAGATGGCGTGTCCGGAAAGAGCGACAGCTGTCCTGCTCTGTCGCTCTGGTAAGGCCGACGCGCCCTTCTTCCCGCCCAGCCACGAGGCACAATAAAGAGGAACATCATATTTGCGAGAGCAGTTATCGCGGGGAGCACGCCCCATTTGCAAGTGAGTGCTCGATCACTCGCCGGCCGCCCCAAACTTGTAGCGACAGCGACGTCGAAAGCGATGACAAGACGAGAGACAGCCGGCTTAAAGCAGCTAAGAGAAGCAATAAAATACGTCTAAACCCCGAGAAGAGAAGAAGGGAAGACAAAACAGAGAAAGAGAGATGTGCGCACTGAAGGACGGGTGAGTGGTCACGATAGACCTTCCGCGCCAAACCCGGAGAAGAAAGGCTTAGGCCGGAAAATACGGCAGGAATCAGTACATGAAAGTATGTCTGTGAATGTGCATGTGTGTGAGTGTGGGTGTGGGGTTGTGTGTGAGAGAGAGACAGAGAAAGACAGGCGCGAGGAAGGGGACCGGCAAAATCGATGGCAAGGTACCAGCAGGCAGGAGGTAGCTGGAATTAAGAGAAGACAAAGTAATTGGGAAGGAACGGGAGGGGTGAGGAGGGTTGGGGGGGGAGGGGGNGGGAGGGGGGGAGAGAGAGAGAGAGAGAGAGAGAGAGAGAGAAAAGAGAAAAGAGGGATCGGAGAAGAAAAAAGAGAGGCAGGAAACGCGAGAATGAAGATGAGCAGAATGGACTCCTATGGGTGGTCGGCTAATAGAGATACAAGTACACTCGTCAATTATTAGCTTCAGGTAAGAGTGAGACCGTAACCCCGAAAAATGAGAAAATGTTATAAAATAAAACTGAAAACTGCGAGCTAGCGTGCGCGTACCTTTTTGCGCCGTCGCTTGTTGTTCTAGAGAGCTTGCACGTGATTGATTCAATCTCCTGAACGAGAAGTCAACGGCGAGAAGGAGAAGGCACAGAGAGAGACAAACAGGCACGGCGGGAACAAAGAAAGAGAAAAAAAGAAAAAGAGAGAGAGAGAGAGAGAGAGAGAGAGAGAGAAAGAGAGAGAGAGAGAGAGAGAGAGAGAGAGAGAGAGACGTTGATTGTACAGGTAGGCGGAACGCGGCCAACAGAAGGAAGAAAGCCGAGGACGAAAAAGGCAGCAGAGGGAAAGGAGGGGAGGGAAGGGAAGGGTGAGGAACCGGTTCGCGATCCGACAAGTGGAACCCTAATTTCGTTCTTCCATTGCTAATTTCAGTTGATTTCAATTGCCGATTTCCATTTGGCAATTCGATTGTAATTCCGATTTCAACTTCGACTTCAATTCCAAGGAGGGAGTAGTGACGGGGAAACAGCGGGGAAAACACGTGCGGCTACCAGGAGCGCAGTGGATACGAAAGCTGAACAGAAAAGAATGTCCCCTGGTATTACGGGATTGTGAAAATTGACACCCCACTACGGTAGGGTTGATGTTCTCTTGACCCCACCCTTCCGCCACGCCCGGCATCAATTCAACCGGTACGGAAGGCTGCTATTCCCTCCACGCCCTCCACATCCTCCACATCGTCACACCACACGTCCAATAGCCATCCCAGCAATCCAGGCGTATGAGAACTCGGACCATTGGGACTGTATCTGATTTGAATAGTCCAATAGCCACATCGACTGGGCGGAGTAGTCCCCATGTGAAACTGCTCTCACGTCCGCGGGTAAGTTCCTGCGGTAGCGGATCTTCCGTTAGTTGACATACAATCCCGTGGCTGGAGGAACGAGGCCCCCGGTTGTGATCGTCGACGGCTCAATCCTCTTCGGGACACGAGTACCAACGAAAACTTTCATGCATGTAAGAGGTCGGTTGGCACGTTTCGCCGAGGGCTAATGTAGCCTCAACATCCAGAATGTAACTTGGAACTGACTGAAAAGGCCCCATAGCTTTATAAAAAAAAAAAAAGGCCCCACGAAAAAAAAAAAGGCCCCACAAGGGCCTCGCCACACCACTCTCTCCAGAAATTTTCCCGAAAAAAAAAAACAAATTCTCTCCAGACAGATATGTCTGAAAAAGACAAAAGTGTGGGGGGTGCATCCTGGCCATCTTCAAGGGGGAAGTTCATTATCATTTTGCACTTCGCCTAAACTGCGTTCTCCACCCAGCTTCAGGCCTATCGCGACGCTTGTGCACCTGCCCGAGCCCCACTTCAGCTGGGCGGCTGTGGCGGCAACCTGCCCACCCGTAGCTGTCCAGGAGAATCCGCTGGTGCTGGAAAAATGCCAGCGTACAGGAACACACGGGCTGGCAGGTGGTAGCCCCCATCTTTTCATGTTTTCACTCTCTACCTGGGCAGAAGAATTGTCCATTTGAGATCATACCGTCCAATTGGCGATACTTTCTTCTTCAGCCCGGTGCTGTCTCTCCAGGCAGGAATGCAACTTGGTTAACCTCGAAATAGCGGCCACTTGATGTGGTCTTCTTGTGAAGGCAAGCTGTACCGAGAGATCAGAGGTGGGGAGACACTGTACTCCGATCGACTATACCGAACTAGGGCGCTCGTGTCTTCATCCCATTTTCGCAGATGAAAAAAACCATCAGCGCTGCGACACTACGATAGGTTGACGAAAGAGATATAGAGATCTTCTGCCCGGCGGGTGTTCGCCAGGTAGAATTGACGAGGATCAGTCTCGAGTCGATGGCATCTTGTCAATGTTCTCAGAGTAGATAGACTAGGCGGGGCTCCGGTATGGGGGACAGGACACTCATCCGCTCGTTACTCACGAGTGGGAACACCACTTGCGCGATGGTGCGAGCGTTACCTGTCGAACGAAAGCACGGACGGCCGTTGGCCGGCAGCGTTGCCGGTGTAGGTGTCAACAAGAAAAGCGTACCGCTAATTAGGGTTAGCGCAGCTGGAAATTCGAATTAGCGCTACAACTTAGCGGAGCTACGAACTAGCGCTAATCCTACCGCCGCCACTTGTCCCCCTCTCCAAGTTCCGCAGCTACAACTTTGCGGAGCTCGTATCCCAACGCTCGTAATGAATGGTACAGTGGTTTTCAGGGAGCCAATTGAACGGTATAATCTCTGAACCCTTGCTCTCGTATCCCACCACTCGGACCTTCCTGCTTCTGCTTCTCTCTCTAGTGCCCCCCCTACGGAGCCATGGATGACGGTACTGCAACAGACCCTCCGGTGCATCCCCCCCTGGACCCGGCCTTCAGGGAGCGAGTCCGGGACATGCTGGAGGCCTGTTACCTAGACGGCCGACTGCCAGACAATGGCCCTTATCACTCGCGTCTAAGAGTTGATCCGCAAATCAAGATGATCTAGGACGAATGGTTGAAGGAACGAGCAGTACTGTTGGTTTTTTAAAACGAATCTGGGGTGCTTTCGCTCCCGGTTAAAAAACAGATGGTGAGGGTTTATGAGGCGACCTGGGTTAGAGCAGGATTACTGCCAGACGATTACAAAAAGGGTTGCTTCATCCACGAAGGCAGAAACTTGGCAACCTATATTACAGTTTCCAAGCAGCATACCGACTGGATGAAAAGTGTAGGATACGACAAAATCGATTTTGAGAACGAGACTTACCGGGTCGATTTCCGTTCCTACCTTCCGCCAAATGAAATGGAGCAACTCAAGGAAACGATGAAATATATATTTTTTTGGATTCGTTGTCAAAACGTTCCAATCATGCCTATCTTTCACCTCCGATTTCATATTGAGAATTCTATAGGTAAGATTCTCAAAATGCATTACTATCAACCTGACAAAGATGAACCCTCGATCTCGAATGTCCGATTCGATCTAGAATCCTCTGATCGATTCTCGTTTCATCCCCCCCTCACAATTGAGTTGTCGGAGCAGGAAACAGTCGTGGTGGACGTGGTTAACGCATTCACTCCATACTGTTCCCATTGCCGCTGGTGGTTTCACACGGATGAGGAATGTAGGAATCGGGCCAGAAATCGGGAGCACGTAGGAAATGAAGGCCAACTGCTGGATCGCCGTTGGCGTCAGCCGCGAAAAAAAATGGTTGCAAGTCGTAGGAGTGAGGATTTCTACTCCTTCCCCCCGAGCCCGTCCTACACCACCTACTTCAACAACAAGTTGTACGATGTCGTCCCTCACCCGAGCCAGGCCTGGCGCCCAACGGGCAGAGCCAGGATCCCATCAGGTGTGGACGAGCAGGTGGAAAAGGCTACACCGGAAGCACTCGTGAAAATGCGCAGATCCCAGAGGGAGGATCTCATCGAGATTGATTTCGCCCGGGAGGAAAAACCACAAAATGAGCCCACTAACAATAATGTGGACCTGAATGAGGACGCGATGGATGTGGTGACCATAGATGATAATAATCCTCTCACACTTACCGTAGTTGGAGATCAAGATCGCTCAGCCTCTCTCAAGGGAGGCAAACAAAAAAGTCCTTCAAACGAGCTCGCAGGCTTGAGGCTGAGGAAGAGTCTGATACACGTTATCGGAGCAGAAACCCTTACAAGGGTATCTGCTCAGGTTTTTCAATGTCGGACGTTGTCCGACTTTTTCGTTAAATTAAGGGACTTGACGAGATTGACGTCTGCCAAAAGTTTATTCAGACCCGACCTATGACTGAGAGACTAAAAGTTTTCGAGTTTTAGTTCAGACGTCTGTGACGTCCAAGATTAGCAACAATAACTGGAAGTGTTTCGCTTTGTTGAGACCGCAGAGGCACGCGGACGAGGGAACGCTAAGGCTAGACCTATTCTACCTAAAATAACAGTCGCGCGATTCAGGGCCTAAGTAGGTTGAAAAGGGGTCGCCGCAACGGAAGTTAGAGCCGCGGCACGAAGGGAATAGGAAGTCTTATTTTTGTTGGGTCCGCGGGGGTTTCGCGCCGAGGTCCAGAGGGAATGGCGTTATGGCCCGCTGAGTAGGGCAGTTGTTAAGGCCATGGGCCGCTAACCTGGTCAGCCAACCACGGTAACAGGCAAAGCCTGCTAAGCACTGGAGGGCGGACTCCTGCGCATAGCAGCCCTTCATATAGAAGGGTTTCTCCTCTCTCAACGTGAGAAAGGAGCTCGCCCAGTAGGTACTACCATCAAACTGTCACCCCACAGACTCAGGGATCGAGCCTCGACGACGACACCGTTGGGCTAGCTCCTTTTTTGGAGCAGCCCATTGCAAAACAATCGAGCGCGGCCGATTTCGGCCGCGCGATCACGAGATCATGCGGCAGAAATCCGTCGCGCGGATCTGTATGGCCCTTGTGCAAAGA